GGACTGATTAAACCCCCGTATCATGCACACACCCTGCTGACTTACCTGCCTATCTGGTAGGAAGGGGAAGGTTTGCTGCTGGCAGGCAAAGCGGTCCCTGGGCTGCGGGAGGGGATGGTGGTTCCCTCTGCGGCACCCGCCTAGGCAGCACCTACCTGCAGGCACCCAGCTCAGGTGGTCCCAGGGTACACCACAGATGCAGAGGGAAGGACATGGGCCCCAGTGCAGCTTAGGCAGGCAAGGGGGCAGAAAAAAAAAATCAGGCTCACCGCTTTTTTGGGGCAGGGTCTGATTTCCCAGGCTGCTGCCAGGCTGTCAGCAGGGCTTTCTGCAGAGCTGTGGAGCTGTAGGGGCAGCAAACTGAAGCTCCTTGAAGGAGTTTTAGTTTGCTGCGCCCCAAGTCATTTAAGGTGCATTACGCCACTGAATTTCCTGCAGCGGCTGGAATTAATGTGCAATACACCACCAAGGTGTGCAAACACCAACACCAGTAAAGTAGTGCTAAAGCATTTAGCCTGCTTTAAAGTGTCCTGCACACATGCCTCTCATTTCATCTACACATGGCGTAGGCTGCTTGTCCGGCCTTTCCCCAGTTCTGCGCCTCCTGGTTCCCAGCTCCTCTCAATTTGGTGTCAGAAGCTCTTCCGCTGAGCACAACATGGGCCAGACAGCCTGCTCTGGCTCTGGGGCTCAGCTGATATCTCCCTGGGCCCTACCCCTTCCAGTTACATTCCCGAACTGACCAAGATGTATCTCATCCATTCAGCAAACAGTCTGCTCCAAAATGCTTTAAGCTCAGCTGAGCTGCAGCCCTTCCTCCCTTCCTGAGGCTCCCAAATTGTTATAGGCAGCCCCATAAAACCTTCTCCGGGCTTGCTTCTGCCTGCTTACTCCAAAAACAGCTGGCCCTTGCTCAGCTGTCTCCTGCAGAATATGGCTGTGACCTGCTTCTTCCCCTCTTTTAAAGTGACAGAACCGTGCCCCCCACCATTACTTTTAGATACAAGCAAGAAGGGGGGGAAAAAATTTGATAGAAGTAAGGCAGAGACAGGTTAGGGCTTGTTTCCCTTTCAGTATCCATTCATTACTGACTATGTTAAAATTCTGGATATAGAACCATTATTGTCTAGTGGGTGAAGCTGTATCATGTATGTTGGGGAGGTTTAGATTTGGTGAATGAATGAGGGGGAGCAGTTTATGAACAGAAATTTCTTTATTTTCTGGCAGGCAAGGTTCTTTGAGTATATATGATATCTTTTATTAGACCAACTGAGTAGTTGCAAAGAAGTTCTTAGCAAGTTTTCAGGCGCAATCACACTTCTTCTTTCTTTTCTGGAGTAGTTTTCAGTTTTACACTACTTTACTGGCTGCTCTGTGTAAGGTTTTCTTCTGCTGTCAAAATTCCTGCTACCTAGGGGATGTGTCTACATGAGATGCTAACTACACAGTAACCTAATTCTACTGTGCAGTAGCATGCAGGGCAAACAACGTATTAATATGTTACTGTGCAGTTAGTGTCACTAAAAAGCCGTGTGCCAGAGCTACTGCACAGTAGCACCAGTTACTGTGCATTGATTTAGTACTTGGTTATACAGGTACAAAACTTAATGTGCAGTAACTACAGCACATTAATGAACATGTAACCGCTCTCAAGGAGTAATCCCACAATTTATACTAATGTCAAAATGAACACAATTTCTTAGTTTGTGCAGGTAGAAAGTGTTAGCAATCATTTAAATTCCTTATTATTTTTCCCTTTAGATGACCAGTAAAATGGAGAGAGAATTTCTAGCTCTTCTTCCAGCTGTGAAATGTGTATCACCAGTAGAGGTATTAGAGATCCTGGAAAAATCCAGTTCTGGAACTTGTCCTGAAATGGAACAGCAGCTGTTGGACAAAGACACATTCAAGGGCAAAGCCTTCCAGAGGTCATACCAGTATCTCTGCCGCTACCAGAATAACAAAAATCTTGACAGCTTCTGTTACAGCCCTGAGAGCGTGGAAGGGACTGAGGAGACATGTCTGAGGCTCTTGCTGCAGTTCTGTGGGCAAAAAAACCCTTCCTGGACCGAGCTCAGTAACTTCACTCAGCTCCTGAGCCTCCAGCTGATGAAGTGTGAAACCTCGGTGTTCTGCAGCAAAGCAGCAGGACAAGAATTTGGGGGCTTTAAATCGTTTGTGATAAAGTTCATGATCACCATGTCCAAGGACTTTGCCATGCCTTCTCTAGTCATGTCAGATGAAAGCTCTCCAAGGGGAGAGGATAAAAAAGAGGAGGACTATATGCTGAGTAGGTACCAGCTAAGACGGAAGTGGGAACAGGAATCTCACCCTTATATAGTCTTCCATGCTGATAACCACTCCATGGAGTTCTTGGGTTTCCATATCAATAAGAACTATGATGCTGTTGATGCACATTCAGGAATAATTTTAGAAAGAAATGTAATTAGCCGTATACTATATCGCATACTTCATGCTCAGAGGGTCCCTTTCAATAAGAAGTTTGAAGATCTGTCCAGAAAAGAACAGCTAGAAACTCTCTGCAGCGTATTTGGTGTGAAAAGCATCCAAGATCCAGATGAATCGTACAAGCTGACGTTGGACAATACCATGAAAATGCTGGCCATTCACTTGAGGTTCCAGTGTGGGATCCCTGTGATCATTATGGGTGAAACAGGTTGTGGGAAGACCAAGTTGGTGGAGTTCATGTGCAGCTTGCAAAGAGCAGGAAGGGACATTCAAAACATGATGCTGGTGCGTGTTCACGGAGGCACTAGCTCCCACACCATCCACCAGAAAGTCAGGGAAGCAATTGAGCTGGCACACAGGAATGAGGAGGAGTACGATGTGGACACAGTGCTGTTCTTTGATGAGGCAAACACAACAGAAGCTGTGTTTGCCATTAAAGAGGTCTTGTGTGACCACAGTATAAATGGAGAACAGATCCCCACCACTCGCTTAAGAGTTGTGGCTGCCTGCAACCCATACAAGAGGCACACGAAGGAGACCATTGAGAAGCTAGAGAAAGCCGGGTTGGGGTACAGAGTTCGCAGTGAAGACACCCTAGAGAAGCTCGCAGTGAAGACGCCCTAGAGAAGCTGGGCTACGTTCCTTTGCGGCAGCTGGTGTATCGGGTGCAGCCGCTCCCCCCAAGCATGTTGCCCCTTGTTTGGGACTTCGGGGAGTTAAATGAACAGACTCAGAGACTGTACATCCAGGAGATTGTTAGATCCATTGTGAAGGACAAGCTTCCTAAAGAAGAAAAAAAGGACATTTTCACCTCTGTTATTTTGGCCTCCCAGAACTTTTTAAGGACCAACAAACATGAATGCAGAATTACCAGTCTCAGGGATGTTGAGCGCTGCATGAAGGTGCTGCTGTGGTTTTACAACCTAAAAGACCTGCTTTTTCCTCTTATTGACCAAAAGAAGAGTGAAGCTCAGCGCTCGGAGTTGTGCAACTCAGTCACTGACCTGGATGAACATAAGGAAGGTCAAATGCTTCCACTAAATGCAGCACAAAGGTCTTTAGTTCTCTCCATGGGGGTTTGCTATTACATGTCTCTTGAGCGTTGTCGCCAAGATTACCTGGAAGTGATTGCAGAGTGCTTCTCTGTCCCTGCACACGTGCTTCATCAGGAGATTGTGCTATGTCAAGAGGTGTTCCTAGATAACCTCTCCATTCCTAAGTGGACAGCGCGGAATGATGCCTTGAGAGAAAACATCTTTATGATGGTCATTTGCATGGACCTGCGAGTGCCTCTCTTTCTTGTAGGGAAGCCAGGAAGTTCCAAGTCCCTGTCTAAAACCATAGCTGTGGATGCAATGCAGGGCAGATTATCCAAAACAGAGTTATTTAAAAGGTACAAACAGATCCAAGTGATATCTTTCCAATGTAGCCCTCACTCTAGGCCCGAGGGAATCATCTCCACCTTCAAACAATGTGCACAGTTTCAGAAGGGCCAGAAACTGGAAGAGTTTGCCTCAGTCGTTATTCTGGATGAGATAGGTCTTGCAGAAGACTCTCCTGAAATGCCCCTCAAGACATTACACCCTCTCCTTGAAGATGGGTGTGTTGATGATGAAACCCCAGAGCCATATAAAAAAGTTGGTTTTGTCGGCATTTCAAACTGGGCCCTGGACCCTGCTAAGATGAACAGAGGACTCTTTGTGCTCAGGACTGAACCGAAGGAGGATGAGCTCGTGAAGACGGCCAAGGGAATCTGTGTGGATTGCACAGAACTAGAGCAACCTTGCCGCAACATTGCAGCAATAGAGGATCTGTTCCCCTTTCTAGCCAACTTTTATTGTGAAGTGTTAAAGAAGCAATCTGTGGAGTTTTTTGGGCTCCGTGATTTTTACAGCCTGATCAAAATGCTGCAATTTTATGCCCAAGATCAGAATCAATGCTCCCCAGAAAAATTCATTGGAAAAGCAATTCTGAGAAACTTTGGAGGTTCGGAAGAAATATCTCCTTTAAAGTTGTTCAGAGACTGCAAGCCTATTCTCTCTCTTTCTTCCGACTTAGAAACCCCGCATACCCTTGATTTGTTGCGGGAAAATTTAGACAAGAGGCAAACAGGGTTTGTATCTAGATACTTGCTGCTAATAACAACTAACCATGCAGCTTTCCAGATTCTCCAGATGACCAAACTGATGGACATCGAGAGCTGTGATATAATATTTGGCTCAGGTTTCCCACAGGACCAAGAATATTCACAGGTATGCCGTTCTGTTAACCGAGTGAAAATCTGCATGGAAACAGGACGGCCTGTCATTCTCTTAAACATACAGAACCTGTACGAAAGCCTGTATGATGCTCTGAACCAGTGTTTTGTCAAGTTAGGAGGAAACAATTATGTTGACCTTGGCCTGGGCACTCACAGAGTGAAATGTCGAGTGAAAAAAGAGTTCAGGTTGGTTGTGATTGAAGAGAAGAACGTTGTCTACACACAGTTCCCCACCCCGCTGCTGAACAGGCTGGAGAAGCATTGCCTGGAGATGAATACCATTCTCAACTCGCGGCAGGGGGAGGTGAAGACAAAGCTTCAGCAATGGGCCAAGTCGTTTGCCACCCTGAAGAACGCTGATTGCTGCAGCGCCAGCTGGGCCGCCTCCGACCCTAAGGAACAGGATGTTTTCATTGGATTCAGCGAGGATGTTTCGGCCACGGTCATTTTGCAGTGCTCTCAGAGCAGCCTTCAGGGAAACTTTGTGTTCAATGAAGAGCAAGTTCTAGGAGCTTGTAAAAGCAAATTAATTGAGTGTGCAACCCCTGATTCCATCCTGCGTCTCAAATACTCCTCTCTGGAGGATGCTAAGCAGATCCAGGACCTGTACTTTGGGCAGAAGAAGCACAGTGGCCTGATTGACATCCTGAGAAAGTTGATGAAAGACCAGTCAAATGTGGATGAGACCAATGGGCTGTGCTTGCAGGTACAATGTTTTATTTCAGAACCAGATTGGTGGGCCTGATTTTGGGGGGTGTAGGGCAGCCATGCCTTCAGTTGCCTTCAGGGAGAGCTGCAGGTTGTGCAGCATCTCTGGAAAGCTACCTTTCCATCTCCAACTATTACTCATTTTATTAATATTATTGATGAACTCATGGGCCCTAGTGATGTTTACAGCCTCATTCTCTTGGGCGGTGTACTGAATTATTGTAACGTCATTTGTGCTCAAAGGACCTTACCGTTATGAGAATTGTCTCCGGTGAAAGTGTAAAATGTCACTGAGAGAACTTAAGCACATTACACTAACATTGAAGGTACTTTAAATCTTAATTGACCTTCATCTTAGTTTTGTTCTGTTTTGTTTTAAACCCTAACATTATTCCTATTAAAGTGTGCATGTATTTTAGAGTAGCGGGGCTTGTTGTATGAGTCTTAAAAAAACTAGTATTGGAATCACAGTTAATGCAGATGTATGACCCACAAACTTTTCAAGCTATGTAAACCCCTCGGCCTTTCACAGGAAGATAAAATGCCAGACTGAGAGAAGGTTATGTCCATCAGCAGCAGCGCACTGCAGATACAGTGCGAACAAAAGAGTACAGGGCCGTGGCTTGTCAAAGGCTGTGGATAGGGAATGGGAGGCAGTTTTATTCCTGTATTGCATGGCATAGTTTCAGTCCTTAATATTTTTTTTATTTTGAAACCTGTCTTGAACCCTGGTCCCCTACAACTGTTAGTATATCACACCCTAGCTCAGAGATCTGGGAGCATGCTAAAGATGCCTGGGGGGAAAGCAGTAGGGCTATGCAAAATTTTGCCACCAGTTTTGTTTTGAGGCTGTTTCGACCTGTTTCAAGGTTGAAATAGCAAAATCTAAATGAAACAGATATGGTTGAAACAGCCTCGAAACAAAATGAAGCAAGTCAAAACGTTCCACTGTTTTGATGCTGTTTCGATGTTTCCCCCAGAGGCTATAATAGGGAAGGTGAAAACAGCCTATAACTTTGTCATTTCTGGCTAGATTTGGATGAAACGTGCAGGAATGGTAGCCCCTTCTGAGGGCATGCGCACCTGAACACACACACAGTCCCACAAGTTATTTTGACCTGCCATCATTTACAGTGGTGGACTGGACCGAGGCTGTAGGGGAGGAGGTGGCCTCACGGGGGGCACACTGCCATGTAAAAACACAAGATAAGCCATCACACACCACGAGTAACATGCTGAGGCCATGAAGCCTGAAAGATTCCAAAGAGAGAGGTGCAGGGGTTTCTGGGAAACTGCACCTCTGCACTTTTACCTGAGCTGCTTCATCGCCGCCCCCCCGCCCCAGCCCCCCACCTCTCCTTCACCCCTTGATGCCTCCATTTTCATTTTCACTGCCTGGCTTTCTTGCCTGCATTGCATGCCAGGCCAGCCTCTGGCTTCTTTATTATTCCTTCCATCCAGGACCAGGAGACACACCAACTGCAGGTACTTCCTCAGCCTGACAAAGGGTTTTTCAACCCTGTGGGATTGGGTCTGTTGCCATCACACGCCACAAGTAACGTATATCCCATACAACATCTTTACTTCTTGCTGTCAATTCCTTCGTAAAAAGAAAGGCTCTGTGCCAGTTCCATCTGGTACCTTTGATGTTGCTGGTGCTATTGGTGTTGAGCCACATAAGTTATTTTGACCTGCCGTCGTTTACAGTGCTGGACCAAACCAAGGCTGCAGGGGAGGAGGAGGCCTCATGGGAGCACAGTGTCAGGTTGTGCAGAGGTCCCAGCATCAGAAAGGGCATACCTGAACACACACACAGTCCCATAAGCACCCATGTCATGAGTTTTGCCTGCCTGTGGCCAGAGATACAGGGCCCAAGACCCCAGACTCCCCCTGCACCTATCTCCTCGACAGCTGACAGGCTTTGTAGCAAAAACAGGCTTTAGCAAGCCTGCATCTTTCACCCCCATATGCCTTAACACACACATAGTGTCACCTATGTCATGAGTTTTGCTTGTCAGCAGTCTGAAGTGCAGTTTCCCTGAAACCCCTGCACCTATCTCCTTGAAACTTGGCAGGCTTTGTGGCCTCAGCAAGAGCTACCACCCTTGCAGCTTTCACCCCACTGTGTCTTAACACAAATGTTTGAAGCTCTGAATCATTTCCGGAAAGCCTAAAGTTTCTATCGATTCGATTCAGATTTGTAGATTCGGCTTCCGAATCATCCAAATCATCTCAAAATCCGAATTGTGATCCAAAGCTTTGCACAGCCCTAGCTGTTACTATCTCAATAAAACACATGCAAAGTGCCCCATAGTTTAAGGCCTTGAGATGGAAGAAGCCCCAGGTCAGGGTCAGCAAATCCTTGTTCTCACAGTGGGGAAAAGGAAGCTTCTGGAACAGGCATCTGAACGGCAACCTGGGAAGGGCAAATCATGAAGGGGAGTCAATTGTATCCTGTTATCAGATGAATAGTGAAATTAAGGGAATTTTGCCTTCTTTTCAATCCATGTACAGCTACTCTTTGCTTGTGGTTATCCACCCACTTGCATATTCACGTGGCAGTAATTCAATTTAGCCCACATTTTTCCATGTTCCATATAAGAATGTCATGTGTCACTGCGCCAAGACTGTTTCAAGCCTTATAAAGGTCCAGCTCAGTAAGGGCATTGTATTTCAGGGAATGAGGCAAAGGTTTGTGTAGGGTTTGCTCTCGCTTTGGATTCAGTGCTTGTCCTAAAGATCGAGCACTGTAGAGCACTGTGATGAAGGAAATGGTGTTGTTTGGCTTTTCCAGTGAAAAGTTATCATTTTCTAGTTGGGGTAATGTATTTTCTAGGCCATTTTACTGGGCAGCCATTTAAACTCACTTCAAACCATTTCCTTTTATTGTATTTTTGATTCGTACCATAGCCAACTCAAGCATAGAAATCCTTTCCTTCTTGTAGGTGTCTACACATGCAAGACTCCTAAACCAGAGAGAGTTAGACATGGTCACAAAGAAACTGAATCTGCAAAACAGGATCTGGTGTGTCTTTCTAAGTCAGTTTGAGACTGAACATGCCTTCCGTCAGGAAATTAGGTAACAAAAGGGTTTGGTGCAACTCATTTTGGTTTGGTTATAGCCTGAACATGTGTTTACAATGTGTGCTGGATGTGATCTTTAGAAAAGAATTTAAAGAGACTTCTTTATTGTTTGCAGTAAGTTTTTCAGACGATCACCAGATGAGAAATTGCTCCTTGTCCAGTTCAGCTTTGATGAGCCACAGAGCAGCAAAAGGCTCCTGGCCTGTGCCAAGTAAGCAACGTTTCTTATGATTTCAGGGTTCAGGTCAGTAGTGAAGTGAAACATGAGCACAGAGGCGAGTCTCTGAGGGCTGGTCTACACTATAGTAGTGATGTATCCTAATCACACTGGCCCTGAGCACACCCCGCCCACCTTACCTCACTAACACACCCCAAACCTGGACATATGCCAGTCAGACTGCTCAAGGTCCTCTCCAGCAACTGCTGTTGTTCATGGGCAGGGGACAGGGACTCCGGAACAATCTTTTATGCCCTCACTTCCTACTCAAACATGGCCTGTCATTATGCCAACCTCATGCCAAGGAGCCCAAGAGCGTGGAATCAAGCCCTGCCCCTCCTGCCCAAAAGTCAGGCAGCTCAGTTGCAGGCTATTGAGGTTCACTGAATTCATGTTTAGCAGAGCAGGGAAACCCAAACAGATAAAATGCACCGTTCACCCATTCTTGAAGCCTCCAAAGCATGGGTGCAAGCACTCTCTTCCACTCACGCATTGCAAGGCATGCTGGGGGTGGTGTTCACTCCCACCACGTAACATCAGAGCTACAGAACTTCACAGAAAGAAATGCAAAAATCTGGAACTCTTGGTTCAGAGATGATACCTTTTTTAGGCCAAGTGAGAAATTGGAAAAAAAAAGAATTTCTGCAAGCTTTTGGGCTCACACAGTCTTCATTAGACTCAGGGAAAATTAAAGATGGTAAAAAATTCCCATATGTAGGAAATAAACTTCATTTTTGCACAGAGGAAGCTGAAGCTGGAAATCTGTCCCTCTGGGTCCATGAGAGTGTCTTTGTGACGTGCTCCTTGTTGTGCAGATCAGGATCCCTTCCCTGTTGGTGTCAGATGGCAGAAAATCAGGGAGGTGTCTTTCTTGTTGTTCAGCAATGAAGTTTCTGATTTCAAATCAGATAAAATTCACCATCTTCCATGTTTCAGGGATGTATTTGATAGCCATGATGGTCTGGGACACACCACAGAACTTCACACACATTTGTGAACTGATTTCTAATCGGTGACATTTGGGAATAATTCAGTTGTCAAGTGTGTCTGCATCCTGATCCCCCAGAAATTGTGAAATGGTTCCCAATCAATGATACTTTGGAATAGTGGTATTGTTGTGTTTCTGGGCCCTGTTTGTCCACATCTGGATTAAACTGTATGTAAACCAGTTTAAGAGTTATGTGTGTCCGCACCCTCAGGTATTGTATAGTAGATGAGAGAAGAAAATCACAAAGCCCAAGCTCATCACACGTTGTCATCATAAGTAAAGTACCACGGATACAGGGTGGGTCCGGCTACCTGGCATTCAGTGGAGGTGAGTATGCAGCTGCTTTCAACTGAAAACTTAAGGGAGCATTTAAATTACTGCAACTTTTAGAACTCAAATCTTGCTGTAGGGCAGCACTCACAAGAGCATCAATGTGACCAAGCAGCCCTGGGGTAAAAACCCCATTTCTGTACAGGTGAATGTACAGGGCAAGAGCTGAGTAAAATTATAGTATGTCTGCACTGCAGGTTGTGATGCAGTGCAGAGATCTCCCAGCAAGCTGTGAAGTTGCTAACGTGGGTAGCAATAGGAGTATAGCTGTGGCAGCATGGAGCTCAGCACAGGCTGTATAACAGCAGCCGGGACTGAGCCCCCCAGTTCTGTGCTCAGCTCATGAGGCACACCCTCCATGCTTTCTTCTCCTACTAGTGGCACCTTATACATGTTCCCCTCTTGGCTGCCCAGAGTGCTTCAAGAGGAGGGCTGGCACACACTGCTAGCAAGTACTCTGACCATTAGGCTACTGGGCTGAGAGAGGGAGGAGCCCACCTTCTGTGTCCAAGGGGCTAATTGTGTTTGATCTCTGAACACTTTTGAGGACTTGCTTACTGTTATAAATTGACCTGGGTGATCTTATTCTGCCACAGAGCTTATGCAGCCCAGTGGAAAAGCAGCTGGAAGAAGAATCTAAATTCTTCCCTTAGCTAATTGCTACTGAGTAAATAGACTTAATGGCATAAAAGTGAAATCGCACGTGACCTACTATGTTCAGAATCCATTTCTGATGACCATATTTTAAAAAATGACACTGAAAATTAAGAAGGGGACAGAGAAAGATCACAAATATGGTTTGAGGGCTGGAGAAAATGCATCAGTGAACATCTACATGCTCATTAATGCACGTTTCCAAAGCGCCCAGAACATCTCATGTATCAGCATCCCCACACGTAAAAATGGTGGCAGGGGCGCTTGATCTAAAGCTCGTTGAATGAGCTTTATATAAAGTGCCCCGCCACTATTTTGAAGTGCGAGGATGCTGATGTATGAGACAAGGAGACTGACTTGAGTGCGACACTCACCATGCTCCAGCAGACTTGATTCATTGAGTCTGCTCTGACAATCTGTAATTACAATGCATCGGAGCAGCTCTGGGCTTGTATAAAGGCATCCTCTAATTTGAGACAATAAAGAAATGTGCATTAGGCTTCCCTGATGTGCAGTAGGAAAAGCGCATGCTTTTTAGTGATAATGCACAGTAGCCTATTTCTACTGCATATTAGCATTTTTTTACATGATGCAATAATGCACAGTAAAATAGGCTACTGCATATTAAAGTGCACTTGTAGATGTGCCCAGTGAGGGCTTTTATAAGGGGAAAAAACTGCCAGAGTAACTGGGACAACTTCCAATTGTTGATGTCTTCAAGTCAAGCCTGGATGACTTTTAGGCAGGGACGATTTAATAAAACACAACTTACTGGTCGCTAGATGAAGGACCTAATGACGTTCTCAGGGCTTCTGTATGGAGGAGATTGGAGTGGTTTCTTCTGGCCTAAAGATTCCTGATTCTGTTATCCTTTATTTCCTCCACAGATAAGTGGACTTCTCTCCATCTGGATGAACTTCTGCCTCCTGAACACTTTTCAGCCAGTTTAGGGCAGCTCTCCAAAATTACTGTTGCTGAGGTTTTCACAAAGAGTACTAGGCAGGGTCTTCATACAGGTAATCATCTTCTGGCTTTCCACCCCACTTTGATGCATTTTTTGCCTCCTCCCAATCCTTCTGCTCAGGTGTGCAAAGTTTTCAGTATAAACTCCATGAATTGTCTATGTGACTTGATATTTGTCACACGTGATTCTTTGTTCAGTGTAACAGACCAGAAATATAACATTGCACATGATTTTTGTGTCTCTAGATGGTTCGACCAAGCCAGGAGGCACTGAAAGTGTCAGTCATTCTCTGGAGGAAAGTGTAAGTTTCTTTCTTACTGTGTGAAATAGAAGATTTCTGGATACCATATTTACTCAAATCCAAAAAGAGGGCCCACGCAAGTCAACAAGGGGAAAAAGGCTGCTCAACTTGGATTTGAGAACAGGGTTGTGGGGAGGGGTTTGGCTGTGGTAGCTCCAGTTTGGGCCCTGACCCAGGCTCAGGGTCAGTCAAAGGCCCAGCATCTGCTCCTCCCACCTGTTGGTCCCCCAACCACTGGCTGTCCTCATGGCCTCTGTATACCCTGCTGCTGCTTACCCTCAGCTACAGCTCTGGCCTCACTTCAGTCCAGAGCCGGGAGCACATGATGGTCCCAGCCCCTGCCTGGCCAGGCAGCAGAAGTAGCGTGACAGCTTCAGCTACTGCCTGGCTGGGCAGGGGGTTGAAGCTTTCATGTCCTTCGTGCTGGAAAGGGACCAGAGATGGAGCTGGAGCTGCAGTCATGACTGAGAGGATGCAATGGCAGGGGGTCCTGGTCCTGTTCTGTCACAGGTATTTTTAGTGTACACAGTACAGATACCAGGTACTACACTGAGAGTAAAATCCAGTTTCACTTTATATGCCCACATGACACTTATGCCACCATTTCTGGGACTCAGTATTTTCCAAGCTATGTGCCAGGCAGTAGCAGGAGCTCTAACCCCAGGTCCAACCCGGTCTCAGGACTGAAGCCAGGGCCATATATGTGTGTTCCTTCCTGGCCAGAGTACAGCCTTTTCTGCGTGCTCAGCAGACTTGTACATTTATACAGCTACGGTATAGGATCACAAGCCATTTGTAAGTGTCAACAACGGCATTGACACAGCAGGGCTACTTCCCTGACGGCATATGTAGCAGGTTCACAGAGCTTCCCCAGCATGTGCTACCCACTTGGGTCAGACCCACTCATCACCCCCCATCCCTCTTGCTACCTCCAGTCTCTTAATTGGTATGCCTTTGATGTTATTGCTAATATATTGGGGAAGTGGTCCCTGGAGGCTAGGAGTAGCTTCTGTGGTACTTCCCATTTTCTGGCTTCATCCCTGGGCTTCCCCACCCAAACTCAATCCTGAAGTCTCTCTGCTTCCCTATGGATGCTTCCCCTTTAAGGCAGCTGCCCATGCCCTCAGACCTCAAATAAGCTCTTGGGGTTTCAGCTGTCCCAGCTTTGCCCCCTTGTCTCACTGCCTTGGACCTCAGCTTCCAAGCCTTAGCCCTTCACGTCCCTGCCCAGAGCAGGTCTTGTCCTGCAGAGTGCCTCTGGTACTGTGTCATATGGCCTCCAAACCTCCCAAACCTCTGATAGAACCTGAACACAAAACACCAACCCAAACAGTTCCAACTCAAATATGAACCCCTTCTTGAGTCTCTGTTTTCTTTGGTCCTCCTACCTAGGGCAAGTTTGTTTCCATAGCCCTCCTCTCCCAGGTACCCTGCTGGGCCAGCCACATGCCTACTTGCAGGCGGTTTTGTTCAGAGCTCCTTGCCCTGTGGTAGCCAGAGTCAGATTGCCCCCTCCATGTCTGGAGCCTAGGCTTATATCCCCAAGCCCGGCCTTCTCCAGGTCATGTGACCCAGTTTGCTGCTCCCAGGGTCCAGGTGCTGCTGATTACCTCATCAGCAGTATAGCCTTTTGTAGCCAGTGCCTCAGTTTACATGGGCAGCTTATACCTTCTGCTCCTTGCTGTCAGGCTTTCTTCCATTTGCCTGGCTACACCCCTCTTCCTACAATGAAGGGTCAGGGTTCCCTGTTACAGCATGTAACGTGAAATAGGTTTCTGCCCCAAATCTCTCTGGGCCCCAATTCCAAGCCTGCCACCAGGGATCCTATCACGTCCCTGTTTCATCAGGTTATCGCTCCCATGTGGGAAGGCATTTCCACCCAGAGCAGAGCTTGTTCACTTTGTCTCTTGGCCAGCTCAGGATGTTCCCTGCTCAGCATTACTTTGGAAGATACCACTCTAAGCCAGTTTGTTCTCCCCACGCACTGTTTGGGGACCCCAGGTGCCCCACACAGATCAGTGGATCAATAGGCAACATGGAACTGAGATGCTGGAGCACTAAGCACTGTCTTTTTGTGGATCCATCCTTCAGTCTCTGTACCTCCACCCCCATGCATAGAATGGGCACAGTCGGCATTTTTACACATGCAAGTGCTGCAGCGCTGGGTGCTTTGAAAAGTGCTGCATCGCTTGCAGTTGTATAAGTTGTTAAATACACGTCAGCGCACAAAAATGGCAGTGGTCCACTTTTGAACTAAAATACATAGAAGGGATTATGGTTCAAAAGTACACCTCTGTCATTTTCTCCATGTTGACGTGCATTTTGCCCCTTATGCAACTGCAAGCGATGCAGTACCATGCGCATCAGCTCATGTGCAGAGCAGACATGATTAATCGAGTCTTCTCCGACACACTGGATCTCAGGCACACATGAGCATGACAATGTATGCGTGTAAATGCTTAAAGCATGATCTGCCTCACAGAGCTCTGTAAAGATAAAGGGCGCCTGTACACACCACAAGTTTTAAACCTCATTAAATTTAATAGGTTTATAAAATTTAAACTTATTTATTTTGGAGCGTTGCATCTGTGTTTATATGCGTTAGATTTCCAAATGAATTAAGCCGGGTCCCTGGCCGGCACCACAGGAAAGCGGGATTGTCCAGGGCTGACCCCCAGGCCTGGGGCCCTGCACCCACCCCATGCCCATGCCCTGCCACATGGCTGTGGAAGCAGGGAGTAAGCAAACCACACAAGAAACAAAAATAAAAACCTATGTCCGAGGAGTTTTAGTTTTAAAAAGCAGAAGCAACTTGAAAATGATAGCAATTCAAAGGGGTGAGCTACAAAAAAGTTGGAGCACTACCTGGTAGACAAAGAGGCTCATTACTCATCTTTGAGTTTGCATGCAACGAATGCATGGAAACGATGCTTTAATTCCTGGTGAGCCAAACTAAACTAGATCTGACGAGTTTTAGTTTAATGCACAAGAAAGACTTTTAAAGCATCAGGAAATCCCACTCATGCAAATAGACATGCAGTTGCAGCACATGAAAGGGCAAAGAATTGTGGTGTGTATATGAGCCCAAAGACACTAAAGTTTGTCAAGTTTCATAGCTTTATAGTTGTTCTGGTCAGAAGGGACCTCAGTAGGTCATCGAGTCTGACCCCTGCTCTGGGCAGGAAAGAGCACTGGGTCATAGGACCGCAGCTAGGTGCTTGTCTAGTCTCCTCCTAAAGGCCCGCAAGATGGGGAAGAGTGCCACCTCGCTTTTAAGCCCATTCCAGATTCTGGCAACCCTTATCATAAAGATGTTCTTACTGATGTCCAGCCTAAATCTGTTTCTGTCAATTTGTGGCCGTTGTTCCTGGCCATTCCAAGGGGTGCCCTGGTAAACAGAGCATCTCCTATTTCTTGCTTCCCACCCAACCCCAATAAATTTGTAAATGGCCACAAGATCCCCTCTCAGCCTTATCCCATGAAGGCTGAAAAGATCCAGGTCCCTCAGTCTCTCCTTACAGGGCCTTACCTGCAGGTCCCCAACCATACAAGTGGCCGTCCTCTGGACCCTCTCAAGGTTATCCACATTCCTCTTGAAGTGTGGTGCCCAAAACTGGATACAGTACTCCAACTATGGCCTGACCAATGCTGCATAGAGGGGAAGTATCACCTCCCTGGACCTGTTTGTGATGCAGCTGCTAATGCATGATAGAGTGTGGTTAGCTTTACTGATTATTTCATCACATTAATGGCTCATATATGCTATATCTATTTTAGCAATGGGGGTCACCTTTGTACTTAGGGCAGGGGTGGGCAAAATGTGGCCTGTGGGCCAGATGTAGCCTGGCAGGCCATTCTATCCGGCCTGCAGGGCCCCTAAAAAATTTAGAAAATTCATATTTATCTGCCCTTGGCTGCCTGTCACACAGCCCTTGATGACTTGCTGAAAACCAGTAAGCAGTCCTCTGCCCAAAGTAATTGCCTGCCCCTGACTTAGGGTGTGTCTTCACTGTATTAAGAAATACCATTTACAGTTTGGAAATGGCTGCCTTTTCAGGTGCAGTTGCTCGACGTTGAGTTCCTTATTAAGCAATGTGTTCAGAAAGCTGTGATCCAGCTGGAGGACAAGAGGGACAACCAGAAGCGAGCCACCATAAGGATACAGATCCTCTATGATGCACTATTCCCGGCTCAGAAGAAAACTGCATGTGAGCACAAACTAAAGTCAACTTAGAATCATGGAAAAGTAGGGTTGAAAAGAACTTCCACAGGTCATCTAGTGCAACCCCCTGCCTAGGGCAAGATCATCCCTATTGAAACTGTCTCATCCAAATGCATTCTCTAACCTCTTAGCAGAATTATACAGTCAACCCCGACACAATACAAGCTATTGCACCTTAACCCATCACAGGTAAAGCAGGGGGGCCATCATGGCTAATACCTGGGTGCTGCAAAGGTTGTTAAAATATACTCAAGTGATCCCAGGTAGAGGGCAATGTCCCCACTACAGAGGAAGGTAAAAGCCCCCTAAGTCTGTACCAGTCTGATCATGCAGTAAAATTCCTTCCTGATCCCAAAGGTGGTGATTGGGATCCCTGAGCAGCGGCTAAGACTGTGTAGCAAGGAAACTTCAGCTTTAAGTCTCAGCAAGAGCACTGGCACACCAGAATAAAAATTCCCAACCTTGGATATAGCTGACATTTAGTGCCTCTGAGGAAGGCTAAACCCCCTCTGACATGTAGTGGTGCTGGGGTGAGTAATTCCTTCCCGGTTCCATGAAGCAACCAAGGCCCAGAAGCCTGGAAAATTCCCATAGTAGAACAGAGTCAGGTCTATAGCTAGATCATCGCTGATAAGCAACTGTCCAACCTCTTTTTAAAACTTCCAGTGATGGAGAGTCCACACCTTCCCAAGGCATTTTATTCTGCTGTCTCACTGCTCTAACAGGGAAGAAGTTATTTTTTATGGATATCCAATCTCAACTTATTTTGCTGCAACTTCAAGCCATCGGTCTGTACCCTGCTCTCTGCAGCAAGGAAGAAAAGATGTTTTCTCTCTTCATGGCCATCCTCAAGTATTTGAAAACAGCTATCATGTGTCATGTCCTCTCTTAAGAACCTTATCTGCAAGCTGAACTTGCCAAGTTCCTTATGAAAAGATTATGTAGGTTCTTGTTAGTAGCCTTGTGGTAGTCCAAATATACTTTATTAAAAATATTTCATTAGAATCATAGAAAATTAAAGTTGGAAGGGACCTCAGGAGGTCACATCTCATTCAACCCCCTACTCAAAGCAGGGCCAGCCCCAACTGCAACATCCCAGCCAAGGTTTTGTTTAGCCAGGTCTTAAAAACCTCCAAGGATGGAAATCCACAATCTTCCAGGTAACTTGTTCTGCTACTATCATCGAGTGAGAAAGTTGTTCATAATATCTAAACTAAACTTCCCTTGCTGCAACTTGAGACCATTTCTCCTTGTTCTGTCATCTTCTCCATGTTCTGTCATGACTTGCCCCTGGTGAATCCATGCTGATTGTTGCTAATCACCTTTTTCTCCTCCATGGGCTTAGAAATTGATTCCTTGAAAATCTGCTCCATTATGTTTTAAGAGACGGACAAGCGGCTGACCGGTCTGTAGTTCCCTGGATCCTCCTTCTTCCCTTTCTTAAATATGGGCACTATGCTTGCCTTTTCCCAGACATCTGAGACCTTTCCTGATAGCCTTGAGTTTTCAATGATGGCCAGTGGCTCTGTAATCACATCAGCCAACTCCCTCAGCACCCTCGGGTGTATCCCATCTGGTCCCGTGGACTTGTACACATCCAGCTTCTCTAAATAGTGACTAATCCATTCTTTTACCATTCTTGGCTGCTCCCCTCCTCCCCAAACTGTGCTGCTCTGTGCAGTAGTCTGGGAATTGACCGTGCCTGTTTAAACTGAGACAGTTATAGAAACCCTTCTGGTTCCCCTTCACATCCCTTGCTAGGTGCAACTCCAATTGCACTTTGGCCTTCCTGATTTCATGCCTGAGCAATACTCTTATACTCTTCCTGTCCAAGACTACCACGCCACTACCACGCCACTACTGCACCCCAGCAAGCCTCGTGGCAATTCCCTCCCCCACTCTGCATCTGGGTGCTCGCCATCTCTTCCTCCAGGTCACTCACTTCAAGTAGTTATTTTCCCTTTGGCCACCCAAGTAGTTGCGTTGTCAAAGAAGGAGATTAAGTTTGTTTGACACAATTTGTTCTTAGTAAATCCATGCTGGCTGCTTGTGACCAGCCTTTCCTCCTCCAGATGCTTGCAAATCACATCTCTTCTTTCATCTCTCAGTTTGTTCCCCTCCTTATCCATGTCATCTTTATTACGTGTCTGGTTTTATGTGAAAATGGACACAAAGTAGATGTTGTGTAGTTCTGCTTTCTTTACATTGTCTATTAAGGGCTGCTTCTGGCAGTTTAACTGTGGACCCACAATTTCCTTGGTCTTTCTTTTCTGGCCCACACACTGTGTTGTCCCTAACCCCTGGCCCTGTCCTGACTCTAGCCCCCTGAAGCTCTCTGGGGCCAGGGCTTCAGCCCTCCATGGCATGGGTTGTCCCCCCCAGGCACCCCACCCATGACCTCCATGCCACCCATATCAGCCATACCCAGTCCTTTGGTCTCCAACCAAACTTTCCAGTACTGAAGTCTGAGGACCTTTCTCCTAGTTCTGTTTCCAGTAGCCACAGAAAAAAAGAGCTATCTCTATCCTCTCTATAATCACCCTTCAAGTATTTGAAGACTGTAATCAAATCCCTGCTCAGTCTTTTCTTCTGCACACAAAATAACCCTAGTTCTTTCAGCCTTTCCTTATAAGTCATGCTTCCCAGATCTCAAGCAATTTTTTTGATCTCCACTAGTCTTTTCAAACTGCCTGCATCTTTCTCAAAGTTTGGGACCCAGACCTGGACACAGTACTACAAGTGAGGCCTCACCAATGCAGAATACAGTGGAAGAACCACTTTGCTAGATTTGCAAATGACATTTCTGTTAATACAACTGACTAAACTGTGTTTTGCTGTTGTTGTTGGGAGGTATTCTTTGGCAATAGGAGCATTCGATTGGCTCTTGTTCAGTTTTTGGTCTACGGTAACCTCCTGAGTCCTTCTCTGAAATACTGCAACCTCACCACTCATTCCCCAGTCTGTATTTGTACCTGAAATTATTCCATCCCGAGTGTAGGACTTGATACGTATCCTTGTTGAATGTCATCTGATTAAATGTGGACTCTTTTCCATTTTGTCCACATCATTCTAGATCCTAGCCATATCTCACAAAGTGTTGCAACTATACCCAAATTGGTATCATTCACAGATTTGCTACAAGTGCACACAATCCCTTTGCCTATATCAGTAATTAAGATGGTAAGCAATATTGGACCAGGTAGAGACTCCTGGGGAACCCCACTTAATACCTCCTCCCAGCTGGACATTGAGCCATTGATGACTGCTGCTTGAGTATGTTGATCCAACCAGGTATGTATCCACTGTATAGCACTTCCATCTGGTCTGTATTTCCTTAGCTGCTTAGTGAAAATTTTCCGAAGGACTGTGGCAAGTCTTGCCAAAATTAAGGTATATCACAACTGCTGCTCCCACCCATCTGTCGAGCCTGTCACCTTTATCATAAAAGGAAATCAAACGGGCCAGGCATGACTTGCTCTTGGTGAATCCATGCTGGCTATTCCTGATCACCTTGTTCTTCTCTGGGTGCTTCACAATAATGGACATCCTCCATGATCAACATTTTCTTTTGGTCTTCCTCTTAGTTTTGAGATTCTTGTAGAATCCTTTTATATGACTCTTTATGGCTCTTACCAGTTGCATCTCAACTCATGGCTTGGCCTTCCTAATTTTCTTTCTTCCCCTTAGGATCTTGAACTCAATCATTTTGTGGTTTG